CAAAGTGCTGGGATTACAGGCATGAGCTACCATGCCTGGCTAAAATTTATTTTTCAGCAAAAAAAGAATGAGAAGAAATAGAAATTCTTCATCATATATACTTCACATGACATGTCAGTATTGAAAAATCTTCTGGAAACATATTTATTCTAGACAGTGAGTTGTAACTTTGCTGTATGGGAGGAGAGCAAGCTTATAAATTCCCAGTATGTAGGAGTCTGCCAACAATGCAAAATGGCTCTTGGCTGCCACTGTGTTTGGGAATAGAGCAAAGGAAAAATGGAGCATTTAAGTATCAGGACTTATAATTCCCACTGTTCTGAAATTTGTATCCCAACCAAGAAATTCATTGCAAACTCAATACAAGTGTCCCAGAGAAATTTTTGGACAAATTAATAATTTTATGTATACAGTAGAGGAATAACCAATATAATATTTATATAAAATATAAACACTATTTTTAAAAGATGAAAAATGGTAAGGGAGATGATTTGTCCAACAAGATAATCAAAACTGAAAGACTCCCTCTTCATCAAGGCTGAAGGGATTTTGCTGATGCAGTTAAGAAATCTTTTTTAGGCCAGGCATGGTGGCTCACACCTGTAATCCCAGCACTTTGGGAGGCCGGGGCGGGCAGATCACAAGGTCAGGATATCAAGACCAGCCTGGCCAACATGGTGAAACCCCATCTCTACTAAAAAATACAAAAAATTAGCTGGGCGTGGTGGCACATACCTGTAAGTCCCAGCTACTTGGGAGGCTGAGGCAGGAGAATTGCTTGAACCCAGGAGGTGGAGGTTGCAGTGAGCCGAGATTGTGCCACTGCACTCCAACCTGGGTGACAGAGTGAGACTCTGTCTAAAAAAAAAAAAAAAAAAAAAAACACCTTTTACATACAAGGGGATTGTGCAGATAAATATGTTGAGGATAAATGAGGGTTTACACTCTCAGAAAAGGGAGCTAGAATTATAGGTGTTAATTGGAATTGAGTTTATTAATATAAAGTTGTGGTTTTTAACATAGACCAGGGCTTAGCAAACATTTTACATAAAGGCCTAGACAGTAAATAGTTTGGCTTTGCAAGCCATAGAGTTTGTTACACCTACTCTACTGTGCAATTGTAGAGTGAGACAATATGTAAACAAATGTACATGGCTATATTCCTGTAAACTTTATTTGCAAGGCCAGACACAGTGGCTCATGCCTGTAACCCCAGTACTTTGGGAGGCTGAGGCAGGAAGATCACTTGGGCCCAGGAGTTTGAGACCAGCCTGCATAACATAATGAGACCTCATCTCTACTAAAAAATTTTTAAGAAATTACATGTGTGTCGTGACACATGCCTGTAGTTCCACCTATTCTGGAGGCTGAAGTGAGAGGATTGCTTGAGCCTGGGAGGCTCAGACTGCAGTGAGCTGAGCTAATAACCTCTTCATTACAGCCTAGGGGTGACAGAGTGAGACTCTGTCTCAAAAGAAAACCCAAAGCCCCATGTTTGCAAAAATAGATGGCGAACTGGATTTGGCCTTTGGGGTATAGTTTGTCAACTCCTGATATAAAAATAGGGAAAGATGTGTGTGTGTACATATAAATGTATATATGCATATGTACACATATTTTCTAGCTCTCTCTGCTCAGATGGTCTACAAGCAATGACACCCTAGTAGCAATGAGCGCACCTAGAGCACACCTAGGTTTCAAAATGTTGTTCACCACTAAAAGGGTTCCTTGAAGAAAACTCTGAGGACACAGAAAAGACTGGGACAGGGAAGGCAGGCCTGGAACATAATGTGTCAAAAAATGAGAAAGTGCTCCAAGATTAAAGAGAACATGCCAGGGATATAAGAGGCAACTTGAAGAACTTCCAGTGACTAAAGCCGGGACAATTTGACTATTAAACAGGGAAAGTGACAGATTATAATCCTGAATAACATAGTAATCAATGAATCCACACTGATAAAAATAATGAATACTTAAATGAAAGAGAAGGGATTGCTCTACCTTGCAGTGAAATGCCAAGTAATAAATGATAGAAGGAATGATGGAATTAGAAGAATCACCACTTGGTGGCCACGTTAGTAACAATTGAATTAGGCAGGAACCATCTTTGGATGCTAAAACTAGCGAGTGAATGCTGGATGAAGAATGGGATTTTACACAGGTCTCAAGACTTCTTCTGACAAGATACTTAAGTACAAAGTGCTTTTTTTTTTTTTGAGATGGAGTCTTGCTCTGTCGCCCAGGCTGGAATGCAGTGGCACCATCTTGGCTCACTGCAACCTCCCGGGTTCAAGCATTTCTCCTGCCTCAGCCTCCCAAGTATCTGGGAGTACAGGCACCTGCCACCACACCCGGGTAATTTTTGTGTATTTACTAGAGATGGGGTTTTACCATGTTGGCCAGGCTGGTTTCGAACACCTGACCTCAGGTGATTCACCCGCCTTGGCCTCCCAAAGTGTTGAGATTACAGGGGTGAGCCACTGCGCCCAGCCCAAAATGCTTTTTAATTAACATCACAGTGGAGAAACCTGGCAGATGACATATTAGGCAAGTTATAAGTGAACAATACCAGAAATGAAATAAACAAGACATTGTGTCACCTGATAGGCACTGAGAAGAACATAGCATCACTTCTGCTTTGTTCCTGCCAAAAAGGCATTAACTGAATCTAATCTTGTGGAAATCTTGTGGAAAACTCTTCAAAAATGTCATGGTCTTAAAAGACAAGACAGTCAGTTGCAGATTAATAGTGGCCGAAAAGACATACAAGTAAATGCAACACCTGATTTTGGATGGGACATGGAACCTACAAAAGACATTGTTGGATCAAAGAAAATTTGATTGGGTCTGTGTATTAGATGCAGTATTGTGTCAATTTCCTGATTTTGATGGTTATACTGAAGTTATTAAATGTCCCTTTTAAAAGAAATTCATCCTGAAATATTAAGGGGGTATAGTTTCCAAATATTGTTCTAAACCCATATGGTTTAGAAAAAATATTTTGAGAGAGGAAGAATAAAGCAAATATAAAGCTTAAATTTAATATTTAATAAATACTTTTTTTTTTTTTTTGAGACAGAGTTTCGCTCTTGTTACCCAGGCTGGAGTGCAATGGTGCGATCTCGGCTCACTGCAACCTCCGCCTCCTGGGTTCAAGCAATTCTCCTGCCCCAGCCTCCCGAGTAGCTGGGATCACAGGCGTGCGCCACCATACCCAGCTCATTTTTTGCATTTTTAGTAGAGACAGGTTTCACCCTGGTGGTCAGGCTGGTCTCAAACTCCTGATCTCGAGTGATCCACCTGCCTCTGCTTCCCTAAGTGCTGAAATTATGGGCATGAGCCACCATGCCCTGCCTAATATATTCATTTTTTAAGTCTAAAATGAGGACATAAAAATGTATACCAAGTCTAAAAGTTGGTATACATTCATTTTTTAAGTCTAAAAGTAGGACATAAAAATGTATACCAATCTTTGGCAAATGAAATTATGGGATGACTGCCTATTTGATGCATATTTATATTGTTTAAATTTTTTACACTAAGCATTTATTTCTTAAAAGTGATAAAAGTGTCTTTCCGAGAAAAAATGCAGAGTATTAATGTAAAAGTAAAAATAATTTTTAAATAGCATAGTGTAATCATAAATGATCAAGTGAAGGCACAAAAACACATGAGAGGAAACCTCCCACCCCTACAAATTGGCAGGTGATGGTGGTGGGATTGACCAATAAACAAAAGTCCATAGGAGAAAACAGGTATTGTCAACCTTCTTCCTAACCCATACTGCCCCTGAGGTTCCATATTCCTTTGGAATATTTCCCTAGGCATAAAGGAGCTCCCAGACTCCTTTCTAATGTCACTTACAAAAAAAGTAAGAGGAGGTCACAAAATGTAAAGGGCAGGGCCGGGCGCGGTGGCTTATGCCTGTAATCCCAACACTTTGGGAGGCCGAGGTGGGTGGATCACGAGGTCAAGAGATTGAGACCATCCTATTCAACATGGTGAAACCCTGTCTCTACTAAAAATACAAAAAATTAGCTGGGCATGGTGGTGCATGCCTGTAATCCCAGCTACTCAGGAGGCTGAGGCAGGAGAATTGCCTGAACCCAGGAGGCAGAGGTTGTGGTGAGCCAAGATTATGCCATTGCACTGCAGCCTGGGTAACAAGAGCGAAACTCTGTTTTAAAAAATATATATAAATAAATATATATATATAAAGGGCACTAACTAAAAGTATGGTGGCCATGTATTCTTTTTTTTTTTTTTTTTTTTTTTTGAGACAGAGCCTCGCTCTTTTGATTAGGCTGGAGTGCAGTGACTCGATCTCGTTTCACTGCAACCTCCACCTTCTGGGTTCAAGTAGTTCTCCTGCCTCAGCCTCCCCAGTAGCTGGGATTACAGGTGTACACTACCACACCTGGCTAATTTTTGCATTTTTTGTAGAGATGAACTTTCACCATGTTGGCGAGGCTGGTCTCGAACTCCTGACCTCAGGAGATCCACCTGCCTGGCCTCCCAAAGTGCTGGGATTACAGGTATGAGCCACCATGCCCGGGGGGCCATGTATTCCTAACCAAAAGTCTAGACGCATGATTTGACAAAAGGAAGGAATATGTAAAGGGCCAATGGGCAGTGTTTAAACTGTCTTTCTCTTAATAGTCTTGGCTAAATACATGTTATACATGGCTCTCGCACTGAAAACAGGAGGGTGACTCTCAAGGGGAACCTCCACGTCACAGCTGAGGAAATACACTTCCCTAGGGATTGAGGAAAGAATGCCAGTGCTTATACGAATTCCCCTATTCCAGCCTACACAACAGTAACCAATATGAAGTAACAACATAAAGGGAACATCTTCAGAATACACAATGGATTAGAATGAAGTAATTACCTACCAGAGTTTTAAGAATAATCTTAACTGGCAGATAGTGTCTGGATGTATCAATTAAAATTCCTCTATGAGAAAACCTTGGAGAATCAATAATGGTAGATTCATTGATGGTGAACTATGAGACAAAACAAATTATTTAGTTTTAGAACTTTCTGTTGTCTTGAACTCAATGAAGACTACATCTATTTATATAAGCATTTGATAAAATATTAATTTAGAACAACAAAAAAGTATGAAATTTACATTTACCAGCTAAGATAAATATCTGGGGAAAATAAACCTTCAGGAAGCAATAGCTAAACAGGTTACATTTTTATCAGTAATTTGTCTAACAATTTTTAGTAACATACAATAATCATACTTACAGTCCCATAAGAATCTTGATAAACTAACTGGCTAAAGGTCTCTAAACCTGAGGAAAGTAAAATTTATTGCATTAATTTATAAATCAACAAATTGAGATGATAAAAGTTATATTATTCAAACAGACTCAAGTAAGGCAAATATAATTAAATATAGTGTTATACCTATATCCTCTAAAATAGATTGTTATACCTATACCCTCTACCATCATTTCTAAATGATGCCAAATTAAAAAAAATTTTTAAAGCCAAAACTCCATTGCCCTTCTCTACTCATCTAATAAAAGTGCTTCACTTCATTGTACTCATACCCTGGGGTTCGTTTCAATAAACACAAAATAATAGTAATTTAATAAAATATCAGTTTCTGAATAAATTTATAGCATTATGAGAAAGAATTTTTGTAATCAAATATTACAGTCACTTTTAGAAGACACCTAAATGTAACAGGGAAAAATGGCTGGAAAAACCACCATGAAACTATAAAGGTCAATTTACAATATACAGTTTTACTTATAGCTGCAAAGACTACCTTCTGAACATTTTTTACTCAAGTGGATTCTTCCCTTAATATACTAGTTGACAGGCTCTAACTGGCCTTGACTTTATTCAGATTCCTCATTCTAGCTGACAGTTATAGAGCCAGAGAACTTTTAACCTAAGAAGAGTTCAGTCATTTTTGCTGTGCCTTCCTCTCCCCAGCCACGTCAAGCTCAGGTTCATGCTGGAAAGAATAACTCTGAAAGTTTCTGTTAAGTGACTTTGCACTCAATAATGATCAGTTTAGAGTACAATACTCTGAAAGTCTGAGGGTAAACAGAAAATAAGGACTTCTTGGAGTAGAAATCTAGTCACTATGTACTCACTAGAGTTTTGTTTTGCTTTTTGTTTTTTTTGAGACGAGTCTCACTTTATCACCCAGGATGGAGTACAGTGGTGTGATCTCAGCTCACTGCAACGTCCGCCTCTCGGTTCAAGCACTTCTCCTGCCTCAGCCTCCCAAGTAGCTGGGACTACAAGCATGTGCCACCACGCCTGGCTGATATTTTTATTTTTAGTACAGACAGGGTTTCACTGTGTTGACCAGACTGGTCTCGAACCCCTGACTTTAAGTGATCCACTCCCCTCAGCCTCCCAAAGTGTTGGGATTACAGGCATGAGTCACCACGCCCAGCCTTGCTAGAGTTCTTTATTTTGGTATGGATCAGAACAAACATCAATAAGCGTCTCTTCTCCTTACCAGACACAGACAAGACAGGCAGATCAGACCAAAAAAACTTAAAATCACTAACATTATACATAAATAAAATTACATTTGTTGTTAATAGAATATGAAAATATCTAGAAATTTTGAATAAAATTAAAATATTCTTATGGGTATAAAAATACATAGCATAACAATCATTATTTTAGGTAACAATCTGAGTCAAATCCCAAACCTTTATTTTGTTTTTTTGAGAAGGAGTCTCACTCTGTACCCCAGGCTGGAATGAAGTGGTGCAATCTCAGCTCACTACAACCGCCATCTCCTGGATTCAAGCTATTCTCCTGCCTCACCCTTCCAAGTAGCTGGGATTACAGGCATGCACCACCATGCCCAGCTAATTTTTTTTTTTTGTATTTTTAGTAGAGATGGGGTTTCACCATGTTGGCCAGTCTGGTCTTGAACTCCTGACCTCAAGTGATCTGCCTGCCTCGACCTCCAAAGTGCTGGGATTACAGGTGTGAATTAAATTACTGTATAGTAATATAATTACTATAATTAATTTATAGTAAATTACTATAAATTTGGTTAGTTCATATATTTTTTAATTCCCTTTCTAAAAACTCTGATTTGGAAGTCAGTACAGTATCTTATCTGCCTAGAGAGAAAGGTGAAAGAAACCTTTGAACAGCAAATGTCCTGATGTCAAACTTTGAAGTTCAGACCCTGAAATTCTCAGGAAAAGCTTTTAAAGTTACTCCCTGCCTATTGCCTCTAACCAACTCTAGAACTTGTTTACATATTTACACTGTTCCTTATACAAACATAGTTATGTTTCTAAATCCACAGGAATTTAAAATGAGGGAGGAGAGATGCTTGCTTCTGAAGGCAACAGAAGCAACAGCTGAAACAAAATTCCCTAATCAGAACAGGTTGGGGCATGTGTAGTGCTATAAACATTACAGGCCCAAGAGCATCCATGAATTACAGCACTGTAGGAATGTAATAACCTTCAGACACTTTTGAAAGGTCAAATGAGTTTTCTCCTATGCTTATTTATTTGTATTTTTTCGAGACAGGGGTCTTGCTCTATTGCCCAGGCCAGAGTGCAGTGATGTGATCCAGGCTCACTACAGCCTCAATGTTCGGGGCTCAAGCAATCCTCCCACCTCAGCCTTCAGAGTACCGAAACTACAAGTCCACACCACTGTGCCCGGCTAATTTTTGTATTTTTTGTAGAGAGCAGATGGCACCACATTGCTCAGGCTGATCTCAGACTCCCGAGCTCCGGCAATCATCACCCGGCTCAGCCTCTCTAAGGGCTGGGATTACAGGCGTGAGCCACCGTGCCCGACCTCTCCATGCTTTAAGTAGTACGTGTGCAATGGAAATCATTTTGGAACGACATAACGAAGCGTTCTGTAAAGGATCCAAGGCAGCACAGTTCTGCTGTGCTTGATTTCACAAAGCAACTGAAAATTTCCCTTTACTGGAAAGTTAACAGTGAAACTGCATGTTCACTTACCTCGTAATGCTCCCCAAACTCTGTTGGCCTTCAGGACAGCCACTGGTTCTTTCACAAGTAAAGTATCTGTATTGGGGATTTAAAATCACACACAAACTTTTGTTAATCCCTCCATGACACACAGTAAGTTTCTGAAAACATCATTGATATTTCTGGACAATTATTTTCTCCCGAGCACATGACCTACTTCTCTAACTGCCTCCTGTACATCTCCATTTGGATGTCTTGTCTATTCTTTCAACTCCACATGCCCCGACGGAACTCTTCCCTCCCTCCTCCTCCACACACTTCAACCTGCTGGTCTCCCGTGTTCCTCATTTCAGTGAGTCACAGCACCACCATCCAGTCACCTGAGTCACTCAAGTCAGGAATTTGGGTGTCAGCTCCATGTTTCCTCATTTTCCCCTCCAGGAGTTAGTCTCTCCAACTTCTCAACAGAGTAGAGTCCTAGTTAAGCTAAGGGTTTAGTTGAAAAATGCAAACATTCCTCAGTTTCTCCTAGTCCTTGGTGACACCCCGGATATCACTCAAATTGATTCCCCTTAAGGCCAGAAAATTATCACCACTCTTTTGCCTTCAGTTTTTCTATCTGTCCTGTACCCACCTTCCCTCAGTATCATCCAAATCTGCCTTAAGACTTACTCTCCAAATCCCCTTAGCCTAGTTCAGCTTTGCCCCCCTCAATAAGAATAATTCAGCTTTGTCCCACTCAATTAAAAGTTCACACCATCCCGAGTGGGGCTCCAGTTAGCCACTTCTGGTGAGAGGCTAATCTTTCAACCTTTGAACACACTGCCTAAGCTTGGCCCATTTAGTCATTTAGAGCAGTCTAGAGTGGAGCCAACCACAGACATAGTAAACCCACAGAGGGTACAGAGATTTAAAACTGTAAAGGGTGCAACAGCTTTAAAGGGTGTGACAGCTGTGGACTTTGCCACAGCAAAGACACTGAAGGCCTGGAGGTTAATGATTTAATACTGGGCTGGTTTATCACCTTCCACCACCACCTTCATCCAGATGCTCACAGGATAGTTAGCTGCAGGTAGGCAAAAGTGCTCTGTCAATAGTGTGAGCATCTCAGGTGACAGTCTTATGACAAGATAGCCTTTTCCATTAGACGACCACAGTGATGAGTTAGCCAACGCCAGGCTAAGAACTATGTTGTTATTTATGAGCATAGTCTAATTATGTTTCCTCTCCATCTACAGCAAATAGATGTTGTTGAGACAAAGTCTCAATCTGTTGCCCAGGCTGGAGTGGAGTGGCATGATCACAGTTCACTGCACCCTCGACCTGCCTCCCGGTGGGCCTATAGATGTGCCACCATGCCTGGCTAATTTTTCTTTTTTTCTTGTGGAGATGGTGTTTTGTCATGTTGCCCAGGCTGGTCTTGAGCTCCTGGGCTCAAGCCATCTACCAGCCTCCGCCTCCCAAAGTGCTGGGATTACAGGTGTCAGCCACCGCATCCAGCCTATATCAAATTCTGAATCAGCTACTTAGAGCTCACTGCTCCACTGGTCATCATTTTAAAAGATTTTTTGCCACATTCTAGTTTTGAGATCTCCCAGAAATAGCAGTCACCTAAAACCCTTAATATAATTGCATATACTTGATACCAATTATTTTCTAATAGCTGACAACTGGCTGATATTAAAAAGGACTGTAAGTTGACTCAGTGGAAAATATATATAACAATTAGAGATTTGATTTTCCAAATATATGGACACATAGCTACAGAATGTCCATTTTTACTTCAAAATCAAGTTATTAGTGTTAACAATGATCACGTCCCTGAAGTGGGAAAGGAATGACATTGACTTTTCAGTAAGCCCCTCCTATATCTTTTTGCAACATAAATACATTTGTTTTGGAGGGTGTATATACAAATAACATAGCAATATATTATCCTTTAAAAACAACATAGATAAGGCTAAAATCTCCTTTGAGATACCCACTCACCTCCCTCTATCTTCCTCAGAGGAAGGAAGCACTTATCGGGCGTTTTCTTAGGCTTGACATAGATGTAGTGGAAGGAGGAAATACTGCTTTATGCATGTGTTCCTGCATGGGTGTTGATATATAAACGGGGTCCACCTCTACGTATTATTTATACAGCTTTCTTTAACTCGGCAGTTTATCTTGGCAGTTCTCCATGTGTGTTCTCTGTAACACTGCTTCTTTATTCTTAACTGTTGTGATCATACTGTTTAGTATGGGTTGACAAGATGTATTTAGCCATTCCTCTACTGATGGACATTGAGTTTTGTTGACAATTCTTCACATTACAGGCAAACTACTGATTTATGTGTCAATTTATATGCAGTAAAAACTAGCCCACCTCTCCGGGCATGCATATTTTTATTTTTAATAAATAGTGGTGCTTTAACATGTGTCACTTCCTCCAACATGGCCTCCTACTCTGGACATTTGATATCTTGTTATTTCCATTCATATGTGTTACTTTTATCATCACCACCACCAACTAGTTTAAAGACTAAAAGCTAGTTTATACTTCAGAGGAAAATTTTGCAATCACCTTGTCTCAGGAAACTTCCCTTTCAAAATAAAGAGGGTTTGTAGAACTGACTCAAAGATAAGCTATGACTCTCCAGTCTCGATACATTTCTTTTTGTGGAATTTACAGTCTGTTATCTATATTGCCAAAGGACAGCAAAGATTCCTTGGCAAAGTAATGACCATTTCCATCTCAATTCGGGTTGCAAAACCTACTTCACCTGGTGTCTGAGTGCAGAGTATCAGTTGAAATAATATCTGATGTTGGTGAATTTTCCCATTTCTCATCTAAGAACAGCTGCAGAATTGAAGAGAAAGAAAGCTCTTTTTCAAAGAAATTTATTATTGAAAAATCTCATCTAAACCAGCAGGATGAAGACATACTTAACTGTGAGACAGTCTAGGGATAAAGGAGCTGCTCTTTTCTCTAAATTTGTGGCATCCTTTTTTTTTTTCCTTTTCTTTTTTTTTTTTTGGAGACAGTCTCACTCTGTGTCCCAGGCTGGAGTGTAGCGGTGTGACCTCAGCTCGCTGCAACCTCTGCCTCCGGGGTTCAAGTGATTCTCCTGCCTCAGCTTTCCGAGTAGCTGGGATTACAGGTGCACACCACCGCACCCGGCTAACTTTTTGTATTTTTTAGTAGAGACAAGTTTCACCATATTGGCCAGGCTGGTGTTGAACTCCTGGTCTCAAGTGATCCACCCACCTTGGCCTCCCAAAGTGCTGGGATTACAGGTGTGAGCCACTGCGCCCAGTCTCTATCTTTACACTCAGTTCCCCTGTCTGCTGTCTCTTGCACTAATCTTATGTTACATGTGTCCTTATACTGCCCTTCTTCGATTCCTTGGTGCAATTCCACATTACTCCTAGGTAGTGTAACCTATAGAAAAGGTATGTCCACTTGTTTGTTCTTTCTAAAACAATTTGGGAAAAGCCCTAGAGAATAACGTTTGGGCAACAACGAGGACAAAATCATACAACTAAATGTTGATTATACTGTCAGGCAAATGAAACTGCTGTACCCACCCTCTTCCCCCACCTCTGCATTATCTTTGTGTAAAATTAGATTATAAAGATCATGGACACAAACAGATGTTTTCAAAGATAAAAGAAATTACCTAGATATTCAAAAGAGATAAGCCAAGTCAGCTTATCCATACAGTGATAGAACATTATTCAGCCATTAAAAATGATATCACAGAAAACTAGTGAAATTCATGTTTCTATTTTGCAAAAAAGTATGGTATAAAAATATAACAAAAATACGTGACGCACATGTACAGAACGACTGCCATTTTCATGTCAGTGCTTATTATGTTTGTATTTATGTCTATGTAAAATGCTTAAATGTTTTACTCTGCAAAAAAAAAACAAAAAAAAAAACACCAAAAATGACACCGATTAATTCTGTCTGCTGGGATTATTAAGTGATTTATTTCTTCTTCTTCTGCACTTACTATACTTACAAATTTTCCACAAAGACTATGTACTACTTTTATAATCAGACTTTAAAGGTTACTATTATTATTTTGAGATGGAGTCTCACTCTGTTGCCCAGGCTGGAGTGCAGTGGCACAATCTTGGCTCACCACAACCTCTGCCTCCCAGGTTTAAGCGATTCTCCTGCCTCAGCTTCCTGAGTAGCTGGGTGTGCACCACCATGTCCGGTTAATTTTTGTATTTTTAATAGAGACAGGGTTTCACTATGTTGGCCAGGCTGGTCTCGAACTCCTGACCTTGTGATGTGCCCACCTGGGCCTCCCAAAGTGCTGGAATAAAGGTTATTTTAAAAATAGAAATCATAGGCCTGGTGCGGTAGCTCAAGCCTGTAATCCCAGCACTTTGGGAGGCCAAGGCGGGTGGATCACGAGGTCAAGAGATCAAGACCATCCTGATCAACATGGTGAAACCCCGTCTCTACTAAAAAACACAAAAAAATTAGCTGGGCATGGTGGCATGTGCCTGTAATCCCAGCTACTTGGGAGGCTGAGGCAGGAGAATTGCCTGAATCCAGGAGGTGGAGGTTGCGGTGAGCCGAGACCGCACCATTGCACTCCAGCCTGGGTAACAAGAGCGAAACTCCCTCTCAAAAAAAAAAATAGGAATCATAAACTCACTGGTCGAGAACTCACAATGGTTCCTAGCATGAGCCAGCTTTTGGCACTGAAGTCCTCATCAGCGAGCACCCTGAATATAATACACTAATATTGCATAGGTACTTACAAGACTCATCTGAAGATATGCTGGGGAAAGCATCACACTCTGACTGAAGGGTGATTGAGACAAGAAGTTGCTGAAGCTGGGTTCTAGCCTGGAATTCAGCAGGTTCATGATGCAACTTGTAGAAACCAAAAATGTAGTCATGATATCTGTTTGAGAAATAAATGTAAAGGTATTTTAAAAGCATCTTAGCCAAATTTTAAAAACAGATGTGTAGTGAACACTGTAGCTAACTCCTCAAATCCATGCCACCCATTTTAAGTCCAACTAGAGATTCTTACCCCAATCTGTACATTGGAATCGCTTAGGAAGTTTTTTGAAAATCCCAATGTCCAGGTCTTCAGAATCAGAATCTATTAGAATGGGATTCAGGCATGGGAATTTTAAAAGCTTCCCCACACTCCTAAGTGATATATGAAGCCCATGTTAAAAACCAATAATGAAACCATCATGGTAATCCATCACTCTTGGGAATCAAAAACCAATTCTGACTAGTCATAGGATGTGGGGGTAAGGGAGAGTTATTCTGAGCAAATCACAAGAAAATTTTGTTTCTCTGTACGTGACAGCTGGACCAGTTGCCACTACCCTGAAGAGGACAGAGCAAAGACAAAGAATATGGATCCCTGATAACACTATTGAGCCACTTAGTGAACTTGCCCTATACTCATCCCTACTTTTGGACATCCTAATGTGTGAGATAAAGTTTCTTATTGTTTAAGGCAGATTGAGTCAGGGTTCCTGTTACCTTCCTACAAAAGTATCCTAGTTTACATATAAACCCCCAAAAGAAGGTCCAGAACTCTCACCAGAGCCTTTAAAACGTAACTTTTGTTGGTATCCAAAAATCAGAGAATATTAAATAAAAATTTAAAGGCACTGATGAATAAAAAAGACCAGATAGGCTTCGGAGCAATTGTTTAAATAATATTTTATAGATTTTATAGATTTGTATACGCCACTTTTGTGTGAGAACATCTTATGCCTTTTCACAGAAGAGGTGGGAAAATTCTGATGTGTTTGGAAGGGTATGGAAGTTAACCAATCAGAGAATGGAATGGATGAATGTTAACCAATCAGAGAATGGAATGGACGAAGGTGTTGAGGGCCCTTCTCACAGGAAAATCTTGACAGATTAAAAAGGAAATTAAGACCACTGAAATACTTACAAAAGGTTAAGATGGTAAATTTTATGTCTATTTTGCCATAGTTAAAAATAAAATTTTTTTAAAAAGACAAAGCTGCTAGCAGCTTCGAGATCTGAATTGGAAGCTGGCTTAGAACCTTGACCCTAGGTAGTAAAATTCTAACAGAAAACTCTAAGGGCTGTGAGGCAGTATGTCAAAGGCATGTGGGTTAATTTCGCCTTCCAGGAAATGAGGAGTGAAGCTATTCATTTATTTTTAAAAACAAGTGACTAGCATGCGATGGACGCTCTTCTAGAAGCTGAAGCAGCAGCTATGTTATCTAACAGCCAAACCCTCTGCCTGCAAAAAGCATTCTGTTTCAAAGCAGGGTTTGTGTTACAACTTGGGCTCGTCGGAGAAAGGGGCTACATGATTCTGAACAATCTGGGGCCTAGGCTGTGTGTGTTCCTGACCACGCAGCGCTTTCTGAACACCCCCCATATTTCCAAATCCTTCCAACCCCACTGTGCTTTTACTCTGAAATAGCTGCTGCCCTCCTGAGTTCCTAGAATGCTCACATAAATGCCTTCAAGTCTTAGCCATAACGGCTAATACATTTTATGACTTGCTTCCTAACAATGCCAGGTATAATCAATGGCTGCTTCACACAGAGGCTATGAATTAGGCAAATTCCTCGGGTAATTACCTAGACCTTCCTTGAAATGCCAAACCTTGCCTTCCAACCATCTCACAGCTGATTCAAGTCCTGGTTATATACCTATTGTTAACTTACATCACCCACGCTTTCTTGTCATACTGAGTTCAGCATATTACCAAGTGCTTGTTTGACTTAGCAGTATGACACAGAAGGAAAACCCAATTCTACAAGCTGAGCTCCAAGGCAAACATAATAAGGGTGTTTGTTTTAAAAGCATTTCCAACCCTGGTAATGATCTTCTGAGACAACCTTCAAGTACTTCCCAGGCAATCTTCCTGACTATCCCAATGCAACCAGACGCTTTGGTTCTACATCTTCACCCCTCTGTGGCCTTAGCAGATTGGATACCAAAGGCCCATTCGAGTTTTTAAAACAGGACTTATAATACACATTTAGTTGTACAAAACAGAAGGAAAGCATGAGCCTTCTGACTGCAGAGAATGAACCATCTCTGCCATCACCATCTTGGGCCTCTTTAGCCTGAGCCTAGGCACCAGTCCTACCTGGGGTCAGAACATATTATTCAGTTAGCTCTGCATTTCCTCTCCACCTGCTCAGCATTCTGCACGCACAATTAAGCTCTACAGTATCCACTGGGTACAGCGACACACTCAGGGGATGCCAGGGGGCAGTACAGCTAGCACCAAATTACAATTCTGCTGGGCGCAACACACCTTCAAGACAGTCCCACCTACACAGGCCTCCCACTGAGGGGACAGCGTGTGGCTTCTTCAAACATCTCCTCAGGGGAACCTGCCTTGTCTACAGTGTGACTGGCTGACTACCATGACAAAATTCACCGTCTGC